TCTGCCCACCAAATGTCGGGAACCCCAGGCTTCCGAGCCCTGGTTCCCTGTTTCCCTGCCTACTGCGCCTTTAAGAAATGGCGCGCCGTGGGAGTGGTCATTTCAGCGTCTGGTCTACTCCGTAACGACGGGACGCAGTGCACACACGCGCACACTCTCTCTTGCGGACAAAGACAAGAGACAAACGAAAAAACACACACACACAGCCTTCACTTCGTTCCCGAATCCACAATGATGCACCTCGCCACCAAGCCGGCGCAGATGCTCGGCCGAGTCCCCCGTCGGGCCTGGCGCTGGATTGTCCGCGTCGTCCTCGTCGCCCTGCTCGTGCCCGTTCTGCTGCAGTGGATCGTCGCCTACATTGTCGGCAGCGACGCGAGAATCCTGCCACCACAGCTGCTCGCCGCGAAAAACCTGCTGATCGTCACGGCACACCCCGACGATGAGTGTCTCTTTTTCGCGCCGAGCATTCTTGGTGTCCTGGACAGGAATAGGGACATCACCGGGGGGCTGCTGGTCATGTCCACTGGTGAGTGAAATGCCCCCGTCACCCGTCAGCGCCAAATTTGAAGCACATGCAGTGTTCAGTGCTGACGAGACATCCCAGGCAACAATTATGGGCTTGGCGAAACGAGGTTGCAGGAGCTCCAGGGCTCTTGCAAGGCCCTCGGCATCCACCCCAAGCGGTGCATCGCCCTGAACCATCCGGACCTGCAAGACAACCCAAAGGTCTGGTGGAACACCGAGCTCATCGAGGGCATCGTGCATGAACACGTGCAGCAGTGGAAGATTGATGCGGTTCGTTCACCCAATCCACCTCACCCCCCCAACCCCACAGGCTCCGCTTGCCCCCCCAAAAAGTCCCCGACCAACTGGGCGGAGCTGACTCCGCCGCCCGCAGATCGTGACCTTTGACGAGGGTGGAGTTTCAGGCCATCTGAATCACAGAGCGGTCAGCGCTGCTGTCAGGTAAGCTCCAAATTCGGCAACATCTCAGATGAGCTGCGTCTGACAGAGTTTCCTCAGCCACTACGCAGCGACGAACCCCGAGGCGCCCGTCACGTTCACTCTGACGACGACCTCGCTGCTGCGCAAATACACCTTCCTCGGCGACATGCCGCTCACGGCGTTGCCCTTCTTCTGGCGCATCCTTAGCGCGCTGTCGTTCCCCGCGACAACGGCCAACCCCAAAGACAGCGCACGTGCTCTGCTCGCCAACTCGTGGGACCGCTACATCAAAACACGCCACGCCTTCGCCCAGCACCCCAGCCAGTACACCTGGGACCGCCACCTGTACATGATCGTGAGCCGCTATGTCTGGTTCAACGACCTCAAACGGGTCGAGCACGTGGCAAACACACCGCAGCAGTCATGATGCGAGGCAGGATCAGATCTGCGGAGTTGTTCTTCCCAACTGCGGCGCGGCGGGCGGCCCACTGAGCTGAGCTTTGGGAGCAGTGGACCGATGGTGCAAGGAGCGCCATGCAATCGCATTGGGCTGCGAAGGCTTGGTTGGTGGGCCGTAAAACATGGCGCCTGCCATTGGCCACAGCACCCCTGCCGGTCATCCCATAAGCTTTTTGCCCCTGTTCACGCCAGGCAGGTCTGGACCCAGCTGCCCTTGGACACAGGACGGCAAATGATCTTGGCAGCAACTTAGCTGGAATGCACCCCGCCGTTGGCCAATGGCATCCCGGCTGGGCCCTGCCGGTCAACCAGCTTACACAGTACGAGAGACTCGCCCGCCCCAAAAAAGAACCTTCCCTTTCTTTGTCTGGCCCCAAAATGCCGCTGTTCGGGGGTGCAACGATGCCGCCCTTGTTCGCTCCCTCCCCCCCAGAGCACGCGATCTCTTTAAAGATGTCTCGCTCGCCTTTTTCTTGGCGTCCGTTGAACACGGCCTGTCTCTGTTTCTTGCTCCCTCCCTTTCCGCTTCATTCCAAGACGAGATGGGGGTAAAAACGCTGCCCACACGTGTCCGCCGGACGCATCCCGGCTTCCTTGCCTTCGGCCTTGCGCTCGTGCTCCTCGGGCTCTGGTGCGCGCGGAGCCTCCTCTACGACACCTTCACGCTTGCCGCGCTTCCCTTGATCTGGCACCGGCACCACCGAAGCTTTTACATCTCGGCCAGGCACGACGACTTCGACGTGACCTTTGAGAAGTACGACATCCACCAGACCAGCGCCGCCCCGTACCCCGACCGGGTCCCGCCCGTTCTCCACCACATTTCGCTCGGTTCCGGCGCGGCCACACACTCGAAATGGAGCGAAGTGCGCCAGAGCTGCCTGGACATGCACCCGGACTGGGACGCCCACCTCTGGACCGACGAGTCCGCCGACAAGCTTGTCTCGGAGCACTTTCCCGAGTTCTACGAGATGTGGACGAATTACCGCTACCCCATCCAGAAGATTGATGCCCTGCGATACATGGTGTTGTACCGATATGGAGGTTGGTGCCACTCTGCCCCTTTTGCCGGTTCAAGATACTGACGGACGATTGTTTAGGTGTCGTCTTGGACATGGACCTGCAATGCAAGCGAGCCTTCGGCCCCCTGCGACGCTTCGAGTTCGTCGCCCCGGCTGCCCACCCGACGGGCTTCTCGATCGGCTTCATGATGGCGAGCCAGGGCAACGAATACGTCGGCAAGCTGGTCAAGAACCTCGACAGGTACAACCGGCACTGGCTGGGTCTGCCGTACCCGACCGTCATGTTCAGCACCGGGTGCCACTACGCTTCGTAAGGCCCTCCTTCCTCACTGCCCGACCCGTATCGTCGTACTGACCAGGGCCTGTGACAGAACAATCCACGCCTTCCAGTCGAACCGCACCGAACTCAAGATCCTGGCCGGCCCGCGCGAGAACCGCCGGCTGCACAGCCTCAATGGCCCTGTCTCGACACCCATCTTCAACCACCTCGGCAGCTCGTCGTGGCATTCATATGACGCGGCCATGATCGTCGGGCTGGGCAAGACCCATGGCTGGAAGTTGCCGCTGGCGTTCGTGGCCGGCGTCGCATGCGCGTTCTTCGTCATCCGCCGGACCAAGAGGAGGGCTATGCTGAGGGTGTAGCCAGGGGTGTTCGCCGTGCATTACGTGTTTATGACATACATGGGGTTTGGATCAGACGGGCGTTTCTCGGCGTTGACAAGAAAGGGGACCACCTCTCCACAGCATTCGTTTTGCCAGGATACAGCGTCGTGCAGTTCTGCATCAGCGTTGAGGGTTCTATACCGCCGCTGGCCGGGCCAGCCTAATATCTAATGCTATTTTGATATGCCATTCATTCTGGGTGTTTCCCCCGAGTGATTGTCAGCGTCCAGGAACCAGAGAACGCGCCCAAAAGCGCGGAGATGGCATGAAGCGCGAACCGCTCCCGCAACAATGACGCAACAATCACCTTCCTCTCCCGGCATCTTCCACGTCGACGCCTCCTGAACGACGCGCAACCATACGTCGAGGCACGTGGGAGGTGCCAAATTCCCGCAGGACGAGCGGAAGGATCGTGTAGTTGTCACTTACACAGCCCTGGGCTCGCGTAAGTGTTAGCTTATCGAAATTGGCAGCCTCCACTTGCTGTCTGGTTCCAAATCCTTACTGTGCACTCACTTCCCTTACTGTACACTTCCACTGACTGAGCCTTCACTCCCCTGTGGACTTGCTATCTTGAGTCACTGTGCACTCACTTACTGTATACCTTTCTTCTTTTTACGGCCATCTGCTGTGGACCTCTTCACTTACCTTACTGTGCTCTCCCACTTACTGTGGACTTACTGTGGACTTACAAACCCAATCCACTCACCCTGTCAGCGCACACAGCGAACCCGATCCGGCCGATCCGGATGCAACCCCAAACCCCAATCCCAACCCAACCAAACACCCAACCAACCCACACACTCCCCTTCCCTCCCCTTCCCCCCATTCCAATGCTGACATACTGTGTACAATCCACAACAGAAGCACTCCACAGTCCACACACCAGGGAGGAGACTCGGGACAAAAAGCCAAGAAGGGACAGCCCTGCCAAGCCGGGAATGAAAAGCTTGATTTCGGTGATCGTCGTGTTCTGAACGGCTTTGGGGTACGTTTTCGGGTTCGCGGACATGGATGGTAGTGGGGATTATGGAACCGGGTGATTGGGTTTGTGTCGGGTAGGTCCACCTTGGACGGTGGCTGTGTATTTTCTTTCTGGTTGCTAATGTTTTGAGCTCATCTCGAGTACGTCCGTGAATGGATTGAGGATGGTTCCGATGGATGGCTGGGGATGAGTTCAGGCTGGACTTGGGTTGATGGCCCGGGGGGTTCGGATACGGGGTGTTGCGGGTCGGGGGCTGTGCGAGCCGGGTGCTGGTTTTGGGGTTGGGTGCTAATATTTCCGGCTGGACCGCGGAATTGGCAAATGGGAGAGCAAGGCACTGGGAGAGCCAGTTGTGGTGTTGAGTTGCTGGATGGGGATGGCGGTGAGGTGTGCTGTGGTGTGTTTAGATGGGAACGTGTCTTGGCTTGGTCAGGACCTGCGGTGCTCAGGACTAAGGTTACATGTGGCCAGTCTCCTCCGTGTCGCGTTCCACCGTCCAAATTCATTGTTCAAGAGGCGGAACAAAGAATCGGTGCATTATTGGCGTCGGGTGCTGCACCGCCTGTCTACCCCGGGGCGAGCCCGGCCAGTGAAAGATGGGGCTGGGTTGTTCTGGAACACGAGGTGTGAGACATGGGAGGAGGAGCTTTGAACCGAAAAAGGAGTCAAGCTAGGAGAAAGCCACCGAGTCATCGGCGGACGTTTCTCGGAGTTCCTTCGGCTGCAATCAGTCACTATCAATGGCTCGCCTTCCTAAAACCGAACAGCCCTGCTGTTTTGGAATTCCACTTTTGGTCTGGCCGGTGACGTTCATTGTTGCCCCAACGACGTGATACTACTCTAAAATATCCAAAACCATAATGTGGTCCTTAGCCAGTCCAAGACGTAAAACCAAAAAGTCTCACGAGGAGCAAGTTAAGTGCCTTTGATCGGACCCGGGCTTGAACCGGGGACCTTCAGTGTGTTAGACTGACGTGATGACCAACTACACCATCCGACCAGTGGATGCTGCCGGCGACGTGGATGAGGCATTATTTGGCGGTGGCTGTGGATTCTCGACGGGGAAGTTGGTGGAGTCGGGAACGGTGGTGGGGAAAGCTGTCTCTCGAGGACTGCAGAGCGAGAAAATGCTGAACATAGTAGAGCTGAGTGACATGTGGTGCCGTAGAGGGGCAGTGGTGCCTTGTGAAGTGAAGCGGAAGAGCAAGCTGAAATCTCGGTCGTCCATGCCGACACTTACTATCTCGCCCATACACCCGAGACCTCACCGAGGGCGGGTCGCTAAAAGATGTGTGGGTACTTTGCTGCTTTATGCTCGTGAATGAGCAGCTACGGTTACTGCTCCATCGCCGCCTGTGACGGTGTGGACAGGGGCTTGCTCACGCAGCCCATACACCCTGAGACCCAGGCGATGCAGCCTAGGGGTCGTCCTCAAAAACGCCAGGGCTGATGTAGATTGTGCCCTCGGGCGGCACCAGATCGTAGACATTCTGTACCTGAATCTGGCACCACAAATCCACGACAGATCCCAGAGCAATCTTGAAATGTACATGTACCGCCTCGGCCTCGTCCGGAATGTCCGCCTCGTCAATATCACTCAAAACTCCGATGATATACGGTCTCCTCCCCTCCCGCTCATCCAACAGGCTGCTGACGACGCCCTCACCCACCATCAAACATAAGCCTGGATCTACGCCGAGAGGCACGCGGTTTGGCAAGCTCTCATCCTCCTCCTCATCTAGCTTCAACATGACGCGGAAAATATCCCTTACCTCCTGCGGGCCTTTGCCGTTCATGTCCGCATGATCTCTGACGATGAGCTGCCACCGCGACATGATCCCGCCCGCCACGGCCGCCGCGTACAGGTCCTGAAAGCGCGCCTTGGCTCCCTCGTCAGTCTCTTGCAGCCCCGTGTTCTTGATCCCGTCCAGAATCAGCCTCTCCAGCCTGCCCTTCATCATCTCGTGCCATCGCCCCATGAACTCGTCCCACCGCGGCGCCGCGGACCCCTACCCGCACACCCGGAAGGTCACGAACCCCCAGTACTCGCACTCCTGGCGGTGCATCCTACCCCAACAGCTGCGCAATGCCCACAAGGGGTCCCAAGAGTCGTCCGGTTACCACAATCTTGGGCTTTTTCTGCAGGGCAAGACAAGAGCACCATCTTCCGGACCAACTTAGAGACAAAATAAATGGAAGGGAAGGATGATGATGAGGGTGGCTGTGGTGGTGTCTGTCGGTCGGGTTGGCGGCCATGATGGGCAGTGTTGGGGGTTGCCATGATCGAGCTGTGATTGCTCTCCTTTAGGGGGCGCTTTGACGAATCACCCTGTTTCATCAATATAGTGCCTTCTCAACGGGAATTCACCGTGTTCGTCACTTCAACTCTATTGGTAGGTGAGGAGAACATTAATCCTAACGACGGTTATGGAACAACTAACACAAGGAACTAGCCCCCTTTTACGCCTTCACCTCCCCAGCCTGCACAGCTCCCTCCGGCTTCGCCTCCGAGTTGATGTTGGTCACAGTATCATCCACACTGGGGATCGCGTCGAAGAGACCCTCCGAGTATGCCGGGGCCGCGTTGCGGCTCGCCACCTTGGCCAGCCCCAGGTTCCCGCGGATCAGCCGCGGCACAAAGCCGTCGACGGCATCCTGCGAGAAGTTGTCAATGTTCATGAAGTCTTCGGTGCGCAGGATCTGGCGGGCGCGAATGGTGCGCAACATGACCAGCTCGTCCTCGTTAAGACGCTCGAGGTCTTCCTGGGTCTCGATCCGGTCCGGGTTGAGCTTCCCCAAGACCTTCTCGCGGGCGTCGGGCGCGACGTCGTCAAAGGCGTGGAAGCAGAACTCGACCGTCTTCTCGACGAGGTTCTGCGTGAGCTTGCCGCCCACGTCGGCGTCGGCGAGGCCCTGGATGACTGGAAAGTGATCCTCGTTAGCAGGTGCGAGAGAGGGGATACTGGCGGTGTCGACTCACTTGGCCGGAAGAACCCCATGGCCTTGTCAAAGCCATCCTCGTCAAAATCGCTGAGCACGGGTTCCTCCCCCCGGCGGATCTGCCGCAGGGCCGTCATCACGACCAGGAGGAAGCGCGAGTAGCTCTCGGCGACCTTGGCCGAGTGCCACTTGGCCGCCTGGAACTCGCTGCACTCGCCCCGGCGGCTTGCCTGGATGGTCATGGCTGCTGAGAGCCCGCCGGCCAGGGCGAGATGCACCCCCGAGCTAAAGTACGGGTCGATGAAGCAGCCCGCGTCGCCGACGAGACGGAAGTTGGGCCCAGCATACGACGACGCGCTGTACGACCAGTCTGAGCCCGTCTTGATGGCCGTGGACACGAACTCGGCCTCGCTCAGTCTGCCGTGGATGTTGGGGGCCAGGGCCAAGCAGTCCTGGTACAACTCAGCCGGGGAAGGCGAGCCGAGCGCTCGCTTGCGTGCCACTAGAAGATCCTGGCGCATCACGATGCCGACGGACAGCGTACCGTCGTGGAGCGGGATGGCCCAGCACCAGCCGCTCTGGTCCGTCAAGGCTTCAGAGAGCGGAGCGCCTTCCTCCGGTGTGCCCGGAGCATACGGTTTTGCCCCTTTCCAGTAGCCCCAGTAGGCCATATTTTGAAGCGCCTTGTTGAACTTGCGGTTCTTGAGGTAGCGGGTGGACAATATGCCGTTGCGCCCGCTGGCGTCGACGAGGTAGTCGAACGTGATGGACCCGGTGGTGCCGTCGGTCTTGCGCGACCACGCCACCGACACTGCCCGCCCCGGGTTGGCGAGCTTCTCATCTTCGGGGAAGTCGGGGGCGGGCACGAACTGGATGGACTCGACCTTGACGCCCTGGAAGGTGTGAGCGCCGCTGGCTTCGGCATGGTCGAGCATCAGCTTGTCCGACTCGGAGCGGATCACGTTCCACGAGTAGCCGTTGGGGCCGTTGATGGCGAGGAAGTCGGTGTCTACCACCTCGTCAGCGCAGGTCAGACCGCGGTTATCGTGTGAGCCTGCTCACAGCCTGGGCGTTTGTTGTTGAACTTGAACGCGGCGCCGTTCTGTTACAAGAGTATGGTCAATACACGGGTTGTATCACATCAGGAGGCACACTTGCCTTAATCTGAAAACCGTAGTTGTCAAACGTCTTTTCGAGGTCAATGAAGCGGAGGAAATGCCGCATCGAGGCAAGCATCGACTCGCCAATGTGATACCTTGGAAAGTGATCGGCCTCGAGGACCACAACATCGACGCCCTCTCGCGCAAGCACTGACGCTGTGTAGGAGCCAGCAGGGCCGCCTCCCACCACGAGCACGGTGCAAGACTGAGGGATAGACATGTTGAGGGTGCGGTTGATGATCGGCAAAGTTAGTTGACAGACAAACAAGTAAAGCCTCGGATGCTTGTTTGGAAACGCTGTGAGTTAGAGCCAGGTACCCAGGTGTTTTAAGGCCCTCTGAGGCAACGTGATGCAAGGGCGCAGGATGAGCTGTACTGACAGTAATTGGCTGAACCTTCAGCCTTCTCAGCGGCCCCCAACCGTCGGACACCGATAGAAGCAGCATCTCTCGCCTTCGGCATGGGGTCTGCAGAAAAGGCTGCTTGCCAAGATGTCATCTGCATGTCAAGGAGAGTGCCGAGAAGGTTAAAAACGTGGCGTTGGTTCCCAAACTAGCCGTATGCATCACCGCCCCCGAGATTCGGTCTCCGGTATGTCACCACTCGCCTATCAACCTAACCTTCTAACTGCATTTGAAATGATTTTGGAAAGCGGGGTTGTTCTCATACTCAAGAAACAACAAGCCTTTGAGCTGTGTACAAGTAACGGTCATCCTCCAGCATGAATCGCTCGGAGGGGACTCAGGGGTTCGAGCCAGTAAAGATAGGTGCAATTCAGAAATCCTCCGCCCCGTCACTTTGGATAACGGTGGTTGCGTGTTTGGGCTGTCAAGTAACTGAACGAGTTTGAGCTAAGGACTGACTGCAAAGGTCCTGTCGGCTGCGTTGATTTGCCGACTCAATCCAACGCCACTCATGACAAGGATGGGCATGCCAATGGGAACCTAATGACTGCCAACATTGGACACTTCCAGCTTTACAATGACTGCTCCGAGTCCATTCTTTTCACCTGCGCTAGCCGCTCGTTGTGCGGTTGTTTACGCTCCGTTGAAGGTCTCTCATGGAACTGGCGATGGCCTTTTTGTGGTTGGCGAGCGCTGGGCTGATGAACTTCGAATCCGCCCAATTCTGTAGCAGGTCGTGGATGTCAAACGTGCTTGCCATCTTCTCGGCAAAAGCCACCAGTCCTTTTCGGCTGCCGGCATTGCCTGCAAGTATTGGCACCTTCCTCTGGGGTTCCGTGGCATTCACATCGGCTTTGGCCGCCGTCAGGGCTGTGATGTGGTCATTGACTCGTCGCCGACTTTGTGAAACCGAGTCAGTGAAACAAAGATTGGCTTGTGGGGAGCTGAGGGAGAGTGATAGGGCGTATTTTGGGGAGTCGAGTTGGAAGTGGGTGGAATGGTGTGCAGAAGATGCTGACGGAAAGGGTCGGAATTATTGACCAGAGCTCGAAAAACTTCGTGTTATAGGTACCATCCTCCGGTATCAACGTGCTAACTGCTCTGTGTCGTTTGCATCTATTGTACGGACAGGTCGATCATGGATTCCGAGTTGACTACTGCTTCCTGTATCAAATCCCGGAGTGGAAAGATCGAAGTGCGACAAATTCTTTTGCAAATAAAGACACGAGGCGGTGTTAATTCAGGAAGTATGTATTTCCATGGAATGAGTGGGTACAATGGAATATATACCTATTAGACGGGCGAGGATGATGATTTTAGTCTTGCGTCATGTTCGGGGCATGATGTCAAGCCAAAAGGGGCACTTTCACACCTCCGGACTCACATGCACCCGCCCGGACTCACCACACGGAGCACCAACACCAAACTTGACTACAAACAAGCTACAGGTCCAACAACATATCCTCATACCCAAACTTTGAATCTCAACAATGCTG